GAAACGAAACGAAACGAAACGAAAGTATCTACAGTGGACCTCACCCCATTCCTAAGAGGTCCGTAAAGGGGGCATCCATAAGCACACCTGCGTGCCCACCATCCCTGTCCTACTGTCCCCATTTATTTGTATTCATTCCCTTTGTTCGTGTCCATGTTCATTCTTATTCCTGTTGTCTTGTACATGAGTGACAAACTAAATAAACAAATATTGATTTAATTACGGAAATAGAGGACATTTGTATGTCTACTAAGCTTCAAGTTAACTGGTGACTTGAACCTGGATTTCTTTACTATTACCTGAAAAGTGTAACCATACCATTCTGTACCTCCTGCATTTGATGTTTTGACCTGTCCCGAGGGACACCTTGACTCACATCTTGTTCTTTGCAACTGCCTGGCTACTATTCTGCCGAGTATGACTATCTGACTCTGTTAAATCTTAATATGGATTTCCATCAACTTGACAATATTCCTCTAAAACAGGCAATAACAATCAACTTTGTTTGACTTTGTGATGCCAAGGGTGCTATAATTGTGTTGAACAAAGCTTAGTACCTACCCTCTCTGCTGTCGTGCCCAAAAACATCTCTTTTTGTTCACATTTTTATTTGCTGACTTTAATTTTTGCAGTGTTTTTTTAAGTGTTTCAGAAGCAGCCAAAGGCGTCGTACTTCTATATTCCTGCTCAAACCAGATGTGGGTTGCTCCTGGTTGGGCCCGGATTAGGTGAACTGGTAGTGGTGGTGGCGGGAGGCTCTGCCTACCCACCTGGACGCTTCTGCACATGCGCAGGAGTGTTGCGCGTGCGGACAAGCAAACCAGTAGTAAAAAAAAGATGGAAACCCACCACTGGCCCCAACTACGCGAATGGATCGGTGTAATTGGATCGGAGAGGAGCTGAAAGGAAGTCAGCCTTAATACCTACCTCGGCCTGGCTTAAGTTCCCTGCCCATCTGAAAGATCTCCACTCTTCTCAATGTATTTTGCCTGACCGACTCCATCACCTGTTCCACTTTGGCATTCTACCCAAGTACTTTCCAAAGGATTCTACCCTCTATGGAAGCCAGGCTATCCTTCTCTTCTCTTTCCATCCCCTCCCACCCCAATCCATACACCTCAGAAGAAATTTTGCAAATTAAGGCATCTCATGCTAATGGGCACCAATTTGCATACATTCCTGCAATTTGCTCTGATTGCGATATGAGGGGGTGGATGCACCTTGCAATCTTCTCTCTCTCTCTCTCTCTTTTCTTTTTGAAACTCTTCTTACTATGTTCCCTGGGTAATTCCCTTTTAGTCTTACTCTTGCATTTTCCCTAGCATCTAGAGAAGTTTCCTCCTACCACACACACTAGTTGGGGAGGGAGGTGTGGGGGGGGGGGTGAAAGAGAACCAGTCAAACACACAATCAGTCCCCTGGGGTGACCAGACAATGAAGCCTTTCCTTTCTGCCCTTTTTTTTTAAAAAAA